GTCGCTGAGGTCGCAACATGTGCCGTGAGAGGGCTCCACCATGTCAGGCTCCACGAGACAGCTGAGAATTTTTTTAAAAAAGCAAGTGCCATCTCTCTCTCTCTCTCTCTCTCTCTCTCTCGCGCTCCCTACCCAATTTCCAAATCTACGTTTCTCTCTTTGCACTCTCTCGCTGACGCCGACGCCGACGCCAACATCGACGAGAGAGGTCCACCGCCTCCAACGAGCGAGGTCCGTCACCTTCGCGCCGACGCCTCGCCCTAGCCTCCGCCTCCGCCCTATGCTCCCACGCCGACGCCGACGCTGACGCCGATGTCCTAGCCGTGGCGCGACGCCCTAGCTGCTGCCCTAGGCGTCGACACCGACGACGAAGCCCGACGCCGACGCGAACGCCCTAGCCACTGCCCCAGGTGTCGATGCCCTCTACTTCCACCTCGACTTGCTCTGTAGGTGTCGCCTCCCCCCTAGCCAACGCCGACACCGACGCCGACTCCGATGAGCGAGGTCGGCCGGCTCCCACGAGCGGGGTATGCCGCTGCCGATGAGCGAGGCCAATCACCTCCCACGTCCGTCGCCTCTGCGCCGACGCCTCGCCCTAGCCTCCGCCCTAGCCTCCGACGCCAATGCCAACGCCATCGCCCGACGCCTAGCCGCTGCCCTAGGCGTCGACGCCCTCTGCCTCCGCCTCAACATGTAGGCATCACCTCCGCCTCAACTTGTAGGCATCGCCTCCGCCCTAGCCGTAGCATACTCATTTTATCATGATGGCTGTTTTTTCAGATATTGTCATCTCTAACTATCCATATATGGTAGTGGCTTGCTCATGTGCAAGATTTTTCCATGGATGACAACCTCCATTTGAAAAAAAAATAAGCTCAGCTGTGTTACATATATGTGTCGTGTGCGTGCATTTTCTACATTATAGTTTTGGATGTCTTTTCTGATAATAAACTCCACACTATAGTTTTGTGAGCATATTGATGAGTATGGACATCCGTAACAATTGATATACATCTATTTATTGTTAAGTAGGGTCACTATTGAACTTAAACCTGCTGAAATTATCTTTCAAGCTTGCTGGTCGGGACTGTTTTGGTGTCATTTTAATCCCAATATGGTATCAATTTGGGTGTAAATTTATCGGATGGTTGAATCAGAGGTAATTCCTTAGTCATACTATGCGAAATATATTTTGCTTCAACCACTATGTTGATAACTTTTTTGTTCTTTTAGTTACAGCATGAAACTTCCCATCTTGCACATATAATACGTGATATGGAAAAAGATTATGAATTTGCAGTAGGAATGATTTTTTCAAATGAACTTGAAGCATACCATAAATATGTGGCCTATGCAATCGGCAAAGGATTTGGGGTGAGAAAGGGTAATGTGTTTAGAAATGGTAAAGGAGAATTAACCCGACAGACTTTTGTGTGCAATTATGAGGGGCATTCTGTCAGCTCATCTAATCAAGAAAAGAAATTTGAGAGGTATGAAGTTAGATGTGGATGTCCTGCTCGTATCAAATTTAAGGTTAACAATGGTGTCTATGAAGTCATTGAGTATATTTATGAGCATAATCAGGCATTTATTCCAGATGATAAAAAATCTTTTGAGAAATTTTGGTATTTGGTCTTTTTCAGACTTGGCATGTACGTGCGTATAATCATATGACATAGGAAGTTTTTTTTTTTTTTTTGTTAATACCGCGAAAAACTCTAAAGGTACACATATGATAAACTTACCTCAAACTAATAATCCCAAACTGGTATACATGTGACAAATTTACCATCTGTTAGATTATGTTAAATATTACTGTCAAATTGATTTGTTAAATCATGACGGATATACCAATTTTGGGTTTTACCCTCCATTTATCACAAGTGTACAAGTTCGTGATTTTTTGTGGTATTAATCCAATTTAACGGAAATTAACGGAAAGTAAATTTATCATAAACGTACCAGTTTGGGGTTTGATAGTCGTAAATTTATCACAGGTATATCAGTTTTGAATTTTTAACAGTAAAAAAATTAATTTAGAACAAATTTATTATAAATATATAAATTAGAGACTTTTCGTAATATTAATTCTTTTTTATTTTTTGCCAAGAATGACGTGACGTAGGAAGCTGCAAATCTCTTGGACCCTTTCCCACCGTCGATTTCTTGCGTGGGACAATAACATCTCCCACGTGGCTCCCCTCCCAAGATAGCCTAATAAAAGCACAGCACAAAATTATTGCACGCGGGGCCCACCGCACGACAACAACAACAAAAAAACCGGAGTTAAAACCTGGCTAACGAGGAAGAAAGTGCACCGGCGGGTACAATAGCTAAGGATGGTTCCCCACATTATGTCTGAACTCAACATGTGGATCACAGAGTGTCATGTCGAGGTCCCGATCCTTTCGACTCTCGATAAATGTCCATGAATGCATGCGAACCGATCTCTCTACGTGCATTGGGTATGACCACATTAATGGACGAAGGACGCGATCTCGAAAGTTTTTGTGGTTCGAACATTAAATGTATCGCATTCCCAATCAAATGCGTAGCTGTACGGCCAGTCTGTTCTCTTGGACGGGGAGGGGGGGATTTGTTGGGTCCGACTTCCCGCTGCTGAATTTGATTCTCTTCTATTTTTTTTTATAATCGAGATAGGGTTTTTTCTCGATATGCCTTTTAACTCGAAAATCCCTATGTACTATCGAGAATAAATTTAGGGTCGATGGCTCTCGTAATTTCATACACCCTACAAATATCTGAAATAAAAATATGCTATAAAAACACATTGTGGACCCGTCTCCTACTTATCGTAAAAGATTTTTGAGGAAAAAACTATTTTCTTAAATTTTTTCAAGAAAAATGAACGATTTGGAAAAATATTTCATAATCGTATCTTGAAATAATTAGTTGATTAAAAATATTTTCACTATCAACGACAATTTATATCCAAATACTTTCGTGAACAATGACAATATTGTTTGTTCATTCGTTTTTTTAGGCTATACAAGCGATCATTCTTGAGAAAATATTTTTTTAAATAACTCATTTTTCGCTAAATAAATGCACCCGAAGTTTGAATTTTCATACAGCTTTTCATTTTTTTTTTTTGGTATGTTTTCTTTTTCTCTAGCTCTTCTGTCTTCACTGTAGTCATTTGCTTAATGTGATAATGTTCGCACTGTGCATTTCATGTAACACTTAATACATACACTGGCAAGCGAATTCTTGTGCACCCCCTCCCCCTAAAAACCTAAACTTTTGGTGATCTATCTCAAATTTCATGTAAATGATTTTCAAAAATATACTTAAATACCCAAGTTTCATGAAAGATTAAGGTTTCAGGAAACCTTGTACCAGTGTGACAAAAGTTTGGGATATAGATATCAAAGTGGACATAATTTAAGGGTTTTGAGAGAAAGAAAAACTTTGATATTTGTGTCACAATAGTAATGGGACATACTTTAGACTTTTTAGTAACAAAAGTTTGGGGTGTTGATATTACAGTGAGCATAGTTTAGGGCTTTTGGTGATATTAACTCTTTTAATTGTAAGTGCCTTTGTTTGGCGGAAAATATTTTCAAAAAAATGATTGCTTGTATCAATTACAAAAATAAAGGAACGAAAAATATTTTCATCATCCATAAAAATTTTGGATATAAATTGTTGTCGATAACGAAGTTATCTTTCATTGACTAATTATTTCAAGCGGTACAACCAATCATTTTTAGGAAAATATTTTTTAAATCATTTATTTTTCGCGAAATAAACGGAGCCTGAAAGATAAAACTATTTTTCCATTACCAAAAGCCATAATTTTTTGCTTCTCTAGCTGGAAGCCAATTTGTGAGCATGAAAGCTTCACAAAACAAGTCATCATATTTTCATCAAAAATATGAATGATGAGACACAAGTAAATGATAACCATATGGTTATAATAATTATTTTCATATTTTTATCTCTATATCTTTTCACCATACTCTTCATTTCACATGCTTCACTTTCATCCAATATTAGAAAGATTTAATATTTTTACTTGCCTTCATTACCTTCTTTTTTTGTCAACAACAAATTATAGTTGCACGTTCCCCACCTACCAACGGCCAAGCTTTTGCTATTCACCCAAAATCTACCGAGGCCTTTCCTTAGCCCTCCTTGGAATTAAGAACTGATTAAAGAAGCCTCCTTGCGTATAGTGCTCCCCAACCTACTCTTATGCATGTGGAAATTCAAGGATCTAGGAGCACCTGCCCATCTCAACACACCATCTTTCGAATCTTATAAGTAGTGTCCATCACCCCCAAATTTAGATTATTAATGATGTCGTGAAATAAGGCGGAACCTGATGGATCTCACTATTCGGGCCTTTCTCGGGAAAAAGAAATTAACAGAGAAATCAATGAGAAATGATAGCGACACCGGAGATTTACGTAATTCGGTCCGATGTGTCAGTACTACTCCACGAGGAGAACAAGCGCCGCTAGGAAATTCGCCATGGATTCGAAGAATGCAAAGCTTGCAATCGCTTGATCGCTCAAGTGTTTTCCGAATTTAAATTACACCCAAAGCAAATCCACAAGGGTCATTTCACAATATTCATTAAAAAATTAAACTCGCTCAGAAAGCTTGTAGAGAGAATATCTTACAACTTTTGTTACCCACTCAAATTAGAAAACAAGAGGAACCCGCTGAGACTCCGTGTGTTTCACGGAAAATCAATTATTTGAAAAAAAAATTCTTAATTTTAAGTATTTATATATTTTAAGAAAAGAGGTATCAGAAAATATTTTCATAATCATCAAAAATATGTAGGCATGAGTTGCTGTTAATAATGAAAATATTTTTCATTAACTCATTTTTTATAAGAGATAATATTAATTAAAGTCCGTAAGATATTTTTCACGAAACAAATAAAGTCATATATCTCGTCTTTTTCCAAAAGGTCGAACTCGAAGCGTATTCTCGAACAATTGACATGTCAAAGTATACGAGAAAGTCATTCGAGCACAAGATTGTGAGCAGATGAGAACGTGTAACAAAATAGTTCACCAACTCTTCCTCTCTGTCGCCTTCAAAAAACGATGAAAACACACTTCGCCTCCCATCCTCCCTATAAACACAGCACAAGTCAATCAACAGCACAAACAAGAGGCAGCACAAAGAGAAAGGAAAAAGAAGAATCCAAGGAAAAAAAAATGGAGAGGGAAGATGCCAATGCAAACGCGGCCGACGGCGACAAGCCGGTGGTCTGCGTTCTCGATGCGTCGACTTACGTGGGGTTTTGGATTCTCCAAGGCTTGCTGAGCAAAGGGTACAACGTTCATGCTGCAATTCAGAAGAATGGCAAGTTCCCTCCAATTCCTTGCGTCTTTCTTTGAGGACCCTTTTGAGGTCTATTGCTTCTTTGCTTACTCGAGGCGTTTTCTTCGTTCTCTCTCTGCTTCTGCTTCTTGCAGGAGAGAGAGAGATAGTGGAGAAGATCAGGGACATGGAGGTGATCGAAGACAGACTGGTGGTCTACAGTGTGGAAGTCTTGGATTACAGAAGCATTCTGGATGCTCTCAAGGGGTGCGCTGCTGTGTTCTGCTGCTTGGACAGCTCGGATGGCTACAGCGACGTGAGAAAGTCTTTCGAGACGAGATTCATCAGCAATCGAAACTGAATCGTTAGTACTTTGGGTTTCAAGAAAAGGAAGAAAAATTCGATTTTGTTTGTGGGTTTTTTTTTGCAGGAGAAGAATGCGGATTTGGAGGTGAGAGGAGCGATCAACGTGGTGGAGGCGTGCGCGCAGACCGAGAGCATCGACAAGATTGTGTTCAGCTCTTCTCTTACGGCTGCGATATGGAAGGACAACATCTCGTCCCAGGAAGACGTGGACGAGAGGTCCTGGAGCGACCCGGAATTCTGCAGGAAACTGAAGGTACTGTGGACCACTTTCCGGATCTAATGATCAGTCGATGTCGATGTCGATTCCGCCCTGTTTTAACGGGCATTACATGAGCGATTTATCGTGATCGACGACACCTCTTCGATAAACGGAGGCTCGGGTCGAAACCTAAACGGGTCCATCGATTGCGTGGCGCGCAAAGAGATTCGATTATCGGGTTCGGCTAGAAGCATTCAGACTTCTTTGACCGTGTCCTTAACTGCTCTTTGAGACTCGTTCTTTGGGTACTTTGGATTTGGTTAGGATGTGGTCGTAACTTGTTTTGGTGGTGTTTTGATTTGAGTGTGTGTGTGGTGCAGCTGTGGCATGCGCTATCGAAGACGCTATCGGAGCAGGCGGCGTGGGCGCTGGCCATGGACCGCATGCTCAACATGGTCTCCGTCAACAGCGGGCTCGTTCTCGGCCCCTCCGTGGCCCAACAAAACCCCAAATCCACACTGGCTTATCTTAAAGGTTAAAACAACACTCTCCAACCTTCGTTTTGTACCCCCCGCTTCGCGAGTTGATTATTTTGACACTGTCAAACGATTCCTCAACAAGATCTAGCAACGAAAGTTTACTCAATAGTACCCCTCGGGCCGGTGCTGCGGTCGCAAAAGGAGACGAACTCCTCGCACTCGCGTGAACCCATGTGGATCGGTAAGAAAAAAGTTCGACGAGCGAGTCCATCCACCATCAATTTGGTTATTGATCAACAAGCGGGTAGCGATAAACGGGGTCTAAATCAATTGGATGAAGCCGCCTGTGGAACTTTTTTTCTTACGCTGGCCTTGTATGCCATAGGGTGATTCAATGTTTAATGCGAGGATGGTGCTTCTACCCAGTAGATAAGTAACTGAAAATGTTGCTGAAGGAGCACGATTTCAATGCAGGGGCTGCACAGATGTATGAAAGCGGCGTCCTTGCATCCGTCGACACTAATTTTCTGGCCGACGTTCACATCCGGGCGCTCGAGGACCCCTCGACGAGGGGCCGATACTTCTGCTTCAACCAGGTAGTCAACACCGAAGAAGCAACCGCGAAGGTCGCGCAGCGGCTCAGCCCTCTCATATCCCTGCCTCCAAGGTACATGCGAGATTGCAATTGCATATAGAGATGAAGGAGTTTACAAACTGTCGTTGCTCGCAGCGTGTAAACAGCAGGTTTTTGTTGTCCGAATGCAGGTACGAACAAGGCAGCGAGGCGTTCACCGAGAGGCTGAGGACCAAGAAGTTGGACAAACTAGTTGAAGGAACTGCCTATTGAAGGATGATGCATCTCCCCTTTCCCCATTTTGTTTTTCTGGTCTTCTGCCTTATCTGTCAAGTACATGTATTTATGGTCCATTTTTAGTTGCGTTTGGGTTCATTTTCATGGTTGATGGTAGTGGTTGCATTCCAAAAGAATAACAGAGAGGAACATGAAAAACTATCATCTCATGAGCAAGTAACGAATAGTGCAATAAACATCTGAATTAGAGCGAAAAAGTAACACACCAGCTAAACCAAGGATGCAGTGTAGTTAAAGATCCCGGAATCGGATGAGAAAAGAGCCTCCCAATTTAGCAAGGCCAAATTCATCGCGCGCGATGGCGTCGTGAGCATTTGGAAGTTCATTCAAGGACATAGCTAAAGGTCTGGGATATAATCAGAATAACTATTCTACATTCCAGGACAAATGAGCCACAAGTTATTCCCTAGTTTTGCAATTTCCATCTATGGACTAACGATATTTCGTTGATCTCTCTTTACCCCTGCCAAAGAGGAAAAGGAGAGAGAGAGAGAGAGAGAGAGAGAGAGGAAATGCCAGCAACCATTTCACTGAAATAGGGTCATTCATCCCCACGACGATCACATCACTTGCCTGAAGTACCGTAGATTCGAATTTGAAAAGCTCCAATAGGATTCAACTACTGCCTTTTCCTTCTTGATGCTATCTCTGATGCCCAAGCTTTGCCCAATTCAGTCTGAAATTTTCCTGCAGAGAAGATGGTGAAAATTGTGAGTTCGTTCCATATGGAACTAGCATGATGCAGATAGCGTCGTCATATAACACAAGATTATAAGCGAGACTTAGGTGAAAACGAAGGTTAGTCAGACAACAGCCCAAAGATTAACTTCTGTTTTTCTAGAGGTGCCACTAACACGCAAGTAACTACTAACAAAAGATTCGATCATGCACCCTTAAAAAGTACACGTGTTCCCCAAACATCTATAAGAGATTCAATAATCAATTACACTTAATCATCTACTAATAATGTTCACCCCCTACATTATCACAAAGTCTCACACCAATAAAGTCAAACTTTCTTGACAATTTTCATTTTCAGATCAAATATCTATAACTATGAGGTAAGTTTTAGTATTACCCTACTCAATAATGAAAGAATGGCAGCTTCTTCCTTTTTCTTTCAATTATTGCCACAACACCCGCATCCCTAATCTATTGCAGTAGATACTCAAATAAAGTAGCCAAAATTTTGAAAAATTATTGCAAGGACCTAGAGCTGAGCCCACTTATATCTCGTCCAATTAACTATGTGGGCCCGACGTAGGACCCACATGGCCGAGACAGAGCGGTTTACATGCACCAGCTGCTTGCAAGACTTGCTCCAAAATTGCCCTACCAATTCATGGCAATCATCTCCCTCAACTATCAGTCCATAGCAATCTCTTCACCATCATCCCATACTTTTGCAATTTACAACGTTGAAAACGTTCAGCTTTCTCAAATAAGTACCCTATTGACCTAAAAAAAAAATTAAAAGTCTAGAAATGTCAAAGATGCTAATAGTTTTAAAGGAAGAGACCATATTATCTTGCCTTTACCTACATGGCTCCAAAATAAGCTACTTCACATTTCTTTCATGACAACAATTCAATTCAAAGCTGCAACTATTTCTGAATATCGGAGTAGAGTGATTGGCTTAACAAATCCAACTTAGAATTTATTGTCCATCCAACTTCAGTAAACCCTCTTGATTAGTCTTAGTAAAAATCAGTCACTTATATTGTTAAATAGTTTTTGGATATCTTGACATAATAGACAAAAATATAAGAAGAAGATTACATGGAAAAATATGACAAGAATAACAAGTAATATTGGGTGATGGTTATCAAAGCAATACATATCTATAAGTTCAGTATCAATCATCATATTCATATGTAAAAGGTTAACGAATATATTATAGGTCACAACACCATTAAAGAAAGTAGCAAGTTCCAATACATTATTAAAATTATTACGAAGATAATGATAATTAAGGTAAAAAAAATAGATATGGATGTGTAGACAGTTTTATTTCAATTTTTCTCTTTTTCCATCTACATGAAATTCTTAGCAATTTCTAAATAAAACCTGGAGCTGGACAGACAAAATCAGTTGAACCTGCAACTAGTTCTCTCCACCATATCTTTAATTAGTCCAAAGCCTTAGAAAATCATTAAGTCAAATTGAGCATTCTCATACATACGGATAAATAATAGGCCATGGTGCAATCACTATGCTATTAAGATGATCATAGATTTGGCAAGATTTTGCTAGAAACTTTACCATTGTTCGAAGTCTATAAAGTTATTTAAGGCACATCCTTCCTCTCTATCAATTAAACAAGAGAAGTAAGATTTTAACAATTGAGATGACGGTCTGTCCAAAATAAAGAGTGAAGCTACCAATAAATAAACTGAAAGAAATATTATCACCTTAATCGAAATAGGCAATAACAGCAGTTCAAAATAATCTCGTACTTACCTATTTGTGACGAATAAAAAGAGCTATGATAAAGACAAAAATTGATAGGAAGAGTGAAATGGCCACTAATGGTGATTGAGAGTTGAGAAGGGGTGCTTTGCAATAAGCTATTACTGGCTTTACAAGAACTAGGAAACCTATAAGGCAACAAACTCAAAGATCAGGGAAAAGGCAAAAATGAATCATGGTTGCAAATTGCAACAAAACTATTAGGTGAGCGCGCTGCTTGCAATTTTCCCTTAAAGCTTTACACCTAATGCACAAGATACTGATGAAATCATTGCTTTCACTTCTCTATGTTCAGTCAAGTGGCAAACATATTGAAAGTGTTCATAAACAGCAATGAAGATAAACGTACCAGCAGTCGACACAAAAAACTCGTCGAGATCCTTCCCTTGCTCTGCATAAAGACAGAAACACTTGAATCGTCACCCTAACTTGTTAAAGATTACAGCGAAAGGCTTTTTCTGCTTGCAAAGAACAACCCAGCAAAAGATCACAGAAAGATGCTGACAGCAACTATTCTAAATTCGCCTCATAGAAGCCATATGAGACTAAAGGGAATGTATGGAGAAGTAGCTCATCACACAGGTAAAGGGCCAGACTTCCCACAAACAAAGAGGCAAACAAGAGAGCAACCATCATCCAAGAAGAATTGAAAAGGAAATGGCATTTTGCAAACAGGTAGCACCTAATTAGCATCCACATATTCATATCGCAAATCTCTTTCTCCTTCTAACAAAATATGACACTTCTCTTCTCCAGACCTTCAATGCCACAATATTGCACAACAATTCAGTCTATTAATGAGGAGTGTGAAAGAGAGAGAAAAAGAATTGCCCATCCAAAGGAAAAAAAAGGAAGGGAGGTATTTTTCTAATCTTCAATCCATCGTCACAGAAGAAAAGCCTTACCATTTTCATACTCCAGGGCTTGAAGTATCATCTCCACCTAATTAACATTAAGGATTGTTAGAATTAAAATATGTCAGAGACACATTAATCTCCACCTAATTAACATTAAGGATTGTTAGAATTAAAATATGTCAGAGACACATTAATCAAGTTAATTACGACGACGATAAGTCCTGAAAGAGTAATTTCATCTTTCTTTTTGCATCGCTAAAAAGGCAGCATCAGGTAAGATATGGATGTGCTTGCATTCACATATGTACACTACCACCAGCTCTTCAAACCATTCGAATTGTTTCACAGCTTCACTCGAAATTGTCACGGTTTCTCATGCAATGGTCTAAAAAGATGTTTAGTCATGCCCTGCACATTACATGTTGCGCTCACTGATGCACTTATCTGATGACTTAGCCACTTCTATGAGCCCATCAAAGTGAGCCTCCGTTGTATGTAATTAGTACATCAAATCAATTGCTCATGTTAATCAGCAAAATACTTTAGGCTTTTTAAGCTGAAGAGATTCCAAACGTATTGAAGGCTTTAGATCCTAACCAACAATATGAGAATATTAAGTTGAACCATTACCCCTTTTAGTTTCTTTCTCAGAAATGAAAGGCAAATCATACGTAGGAACGAGGCACTATAGCATGTTGTGATTTACAAGTTAATTCACCTTGGTCTTGTTAAATTCGCATGAAGCATTTTCACAATTTTAATTTCATTTCATCATCCCAAAGAGTGTCAAGCACATCTATATTCACCTCAAGGTAACTCACACAGTTCCAAAGGTTTTCAATTGCTGCAGAAATAAACAGAAATTATGAAGTGACCATAACAGATGTGACGCCACGAATTACAACCAGTGCAGTGTTATGCATACTTAACCGATCTCATGCAATAACTTGAAGATCAGCAACTTAAAGTTGAAGCATTAAAATTTATTTTTGTAGGTTTTGCAATCCAAAAATAATGAAAACTATTACAAAATCTCAAGACCTTGTGATGTATGGCAATAAAAATTTGAATAATTAGATATTTAGAATGTCACTTTCCTTCAGATTATAAAGTACAGATGACCACTCAAAACGGGATTCTAATTTCACCTACTATGCTTAACTTAACCTACAAAGATGAAAAGACGCAGTCAAGGTAATGCTTAATAATCATGAAACCATATCCTTCAATTTAGTCATCAAAACAAAAGAAACCAGCAAGGACAAAATGGCCGAGACACCAAATAATTTTCATGGTAATTATATCCACAATTATGATCCACAAGAAGTTGACAGACCTTCTCTTCTCTTGGGGCAAGTGTGAATTTCCTTCACGTGGCAATTGAGGCCAATGGTAGTAGGCTTAACCATCTAGGCCCCAAAACCCAGTCATAGGTCACCAGGCAGATCTAGCATGTTCTTGTGCATAAGTGAATACAATTCCAATTTAAAACCAATTCCAATACAGAAATGGACATAAAACCTCATCCGGCATTGGACATTCAGGTGTACATGTTTCACCTATAAGCATCAATCAATTATATTATAAAAAAGTTTTGAAATCAGCCCATTTTGTCTGGGCATTAGATGGCCTTTTCAGAAAAGAAAAAATAAGAATGAAGAGAAATCATACACAACTTAGGGAAGATGATGAAAGATTGCTACCATAAAACAAATGATTGAAATGTTTTTGATTTTATGGAAATGGGATCGCCAGTTACTTGCCATACTTCTATTCCATTGATGAGAACAAAGAGAATCCGCGAAAGAATTATCCATAAGTAATAAAGTAAAATCGAGACTCAGCATTTGCAAATCATATAGAATGTAAAAGGTAAACACATGTACCTTGTCAAAATCCTTAACAACTTTGGCTTCTGGTGATAAATTTTCCTCATACTCCATCCATAGTTCATTTATCTCCTTTGCTGCAGTTGCAACTGGTAAGTGAAGCAACCACAGATATTCAGGCCAGAAAAGGAACACAAGAGATACCTTGTGATTGTCCACCAAGTAATCTGCACATGTGATCCAATGCTTCCCTCTCTCTTCGGCTTTTCTCCACCTTTGAGATGCCATCAGAAGGGGTTATGTCCCCAACAATAGCTAATTCAAGAAGTTGAGAGGTGAGATCAATAGTGACGATGTACAATTTGGTGATAAATCTCTCTCCACAAATAAATTATTCAAAGTACTTTTTTTTTTTTATAACCGAGGAACCCCCCGCACGGCCGACAGCCGGAGGGGTAAACTTGGGGTGACGCTAGCGCAGGACCCACCACCACGGCGCCACACTTAAGAATCCCTAACGACTACGCTAGGGTGTGAACTCCGATCCCTTCATGGGGGGACAAGAGCGCAAGCCAACGCAGCCGCTGCGGGCGGTGGTAATTATTCAAAGTACATTCATCTACAATTGAACCAACGAATCGGTCAGATCGACAAATGACAAAAAGGACATTGCATTCTAATCATTATGACATCCCCTGTTACGTAGTCACTACTCATCATTATGTCCTTTAGGCAACATTTTAAGTTGAGCAATCAAATAGCATAATACTGAAGGCCCATTTGCTTCAATGAAGAGACAAGAATCAGCACAAAAATTTCCCAGCAGAAAAGGTTGCAGCTCAATTGACATGCTTTCTTACATTTGAAGTTGAGCAATAAAATAGCATAAGATTGAAACCCTATTGCTCTACCCAAGGGCAAAGATTCATCACAAGAAGTTCCTAATCAAAAAAGGTTTGAGCTAGGTGACCACCATAATCAGCAACTTATTAATCAGACCATCGACTATCAGATAAAACAACTCTGTAATCAGGAAAGAAGCACCAATGTCAGGTAAAAAAAACTTCCCCTTGTTCCTTTTATCCTCAAATGACATGCTATCGTGCAATTAACTCGCAGTCACTATCAGCAGATTACACTTATCTAATGACCTTATTTCATCTTCTTACAGCAGAGGAAAGAACACAGAAAAGCTCCATACCTTCAGCTATGTCATGTACAATTGCCATTTTTATACACCTGAAATAAGGGAGAAAAAACAAGATTACAAAATATTCAAAAAATCACAATCGAAAGTAACACGCAAAAAAGAGGATGACAGATCGTGTTCACATAATTAGTGGCTATTCTTAATGACACAAATAAAAAGGGAAGGCCCAAATTCATTTATCAATAATAGACAGATCGCCTTCACATATTTTCTTCTTTAGCTCGTCAAACATAGACTCAGCAATGCATCTTCAAATATGTATTAGACTTCTAAATACGTAACTGACGTCTAAAAGCATGCTTTTAAGGCTACACCAATCTAAGTAAGCTAAAGAAAGAGAGCAGGGAGACCAAAAGAACACTTCAGAACAGTACATCATAGCAAAGACATTGAAAGTTCAAAGACATTTCATGTCCTCTTTTCGTTAGCTTAAGTCAAAGTAATTTCGCAATATTGCTAATATGGTAGATGAAGGAGAACGTTCATTGTTAAGCTATGACTCTCACCACTCTACCTGAGCAATCAACAAGAAGAACACCATCCAAAGCCACGTCAAAAGTTTGTAACTAAGAAATTGTCGCATTTCAAATCCAATAATCTTTCTAATTAAGTGCCCATTAGAATACATAATATCCAAAAGAATATTTACAAAAATATGAACTGAAGTGAGATCCAGGTAACTCCAAAGAACAAAATAAGCAATTCTTTTTTTCAAATTATGTTTCCTTGCAAAACTATAAACCAACTAATGAAACTAATAGAAGTACCAACTTGTTTCGGTCAACACCAGGAACATCTGAAGCAATAAGCGCCATCAATCCCATTCGATACATGTGGTCCGCTATAGACTCTGGATCCTTTACATCTCTCTTCACCCAACCAGCTCTTTTGGTTGTCTGATACAGTTCAAATTCAAACAGTGACAAATGGACTACACGTGATCAGGAGGATGGGGGGAAGAGAGAGAGAGCATAGGAAACAACATGCACGATTCCAACCCTATGGAAATGAAACAAAACCAAAAACGAAAAGATACTTTCAAATGAAGGTAAAGGAATGCTCGTCGGTATAGGGCCAAACTATCCCATTTATTCTTTTATACAAGAACAATGCCTTTGTAAATTGGGGCCACATTTTCCCTTCTACAAAGTTATCAGATAATAGAAACTAATTGAGAAGAATCTCCCCTCACTAAAGCAGCACAGGTAAAGTGCATTTATCTAAATTAGAAAGACGGACGAAAGAGCAATTGGATGCAACAAATGAGTAGCTAAATTAGCTCGGAAACTACCATATCAAATATCAAAACTTGAACAATAGGCACTAACAAAGTGCACATACGCCTAGAATCAGAAAACCAGACAATCAAACCGTCAAATCACACGCCAAACCATCGAAATAAGCTACGTCTATAAGATGAGGCTATCTCTCTCCCCTCCAATCATGCCACAACCATCCGATCGTGATAATCATCCGCAAGCTGAGTCAGAGTCCTATCTTCCTCAACCACAGAACGAAACAAGCATCTTTCCATTTCCATTTCCATTCCAAGCTCATCAACCTTGCCGAGACTTGCTTTCCGTACACGATTATCGCCGCCCACCCTCTCCACATTTTCAGGAACCGAGCAGAAAGCTTAAACGGGAGCTTCTAGGAGAGGCCGAGGAGGTACCTTCAGGCGGTGGCAGAGAGTGAGGAAGTCGATAGCGGAGGACGCGGCGGAAGGCGACGGCGACGGCGACGGCGACGAAGCGGAAGCGGAAGCGGTTTGCTTCTCGCCTCCCGGGGAGCAGCCGGCGGCGTCGCCCGGCGGGGAAGCGGCGGCCTCCGAGGCGGCCATGATGCGGCGGCGGCGGGGCGCGGGGACCGGCGGCGAGGGAGGGGGGCGGGGGCCGAGCGGGCTGAAGCCGTGGCGGAGGCGGCGGGCGGAGGCGAGGGAGGGAACGAGGGCGGCGAGCGAGGGCGGTTTGCAGAGGAAGAAGGCTCGGCCTCCGCTTCCCATTTTTTTTTCTTTTTCCTCTCTTTTTTAGTTTTAAATTTTTTTCGGTGAAAATTTTGGGGGAAAAGAGTTTTTAATTTCGGCGGATGGGCTGACTGGGATCCGTTGGGATGATTCCGCTAGATGCGAGTCATCCGTCTGGGGAGAATCTGGACCGTCGATTCGGTTAACGGGCCGATGCTTGATGACGTGGCCGCCCGTGGGAGCCGCTTCCCGAGGCGAACTTTTGGGATTTGGAAGCGCGTGTAATTTTCATCCCCAAGTCCCTGAAGAAATAGGGAATTACCAAAACTCCCGCTTATTTTTCAAATACTTTTCACTCTACACCCTCTATAATGACTGATTTGCATGATGTTTTCACATTTAGCGCCCATTTATGCTAACAGTTACCATTGGTCCATTGGGGTTCTCTTGTTTTATTTAATTTTTTTTTGCCTCCTGAAATCGACTTTTTTTCTTCCAATAATACCCATATCACAATTCCAAATTGCTCACCCCCTTGAAAAAACCCCTATAATCACGAAGGGAAATCTCTTGACCTAACTTTTGACAACCATTACAACCGGCTTTCGTAACGAGGTAACCATCACCACCCATATCAACTTCATCTCTTCCTCTCTCTCTCTATATCGAAAGTTGTAGGATCGAAGTGCATGAAGAAGACTATAAGTTTTAGGACTTTTTTTTTTGCTTCCGTATTTTTGTTAACTAAACGAGGTATTAGGCTGCTTTTGATCACTAAGGATTAAAAGTTAAATTGAATAAGATAGAACTGAAAAGCAAGCAAATATCTTGGATCATGTCCTTTGTTTGGATATATAGCAAATATGAGACCGGTCATAGACATATCTTGTCTAATAATGTGTTTATTGCGTCTGAGAGATGATTTAGTGGAAATTCTAGGAGAGAAAGGAAACAAAGTCCAAATCAATCGTGCAAATAAGGGCAACCGCCACGATGGGGGTTGCCCTTGTTGCTGTGGAGATCTCCAATGGGTCGGATTTAGGTGGAGACAGAGAAGACGTTTGAGAGAAAGACAACCCGTGACCACCACCATCATGGTGATTATCTTGAAGGTCTCCGATGACCAACATGACTCAGCTCCCATGCGCGCTTGTGCAGACACATAGTTCATGCAATAGTGTCCGCTTGAGAGTGTTGATCACTGTGCCAAGGTCCACTTGAGAGAGGGGCCTGTCACTGTGGACAGCATCGATGACAGTATCATTGACCACGGACCTATTGCAAACCATTTTATTAGCTTCATGTTTCTTACTTAGTTTTCCCCTTCCAATTCGGGCGGGATAAATGATTTCTCCCAAATCTAAGATGAGCTGTCCAAATTTTAATCCCGACTTACTCAATATTGTCTAATTTGAAGTGTATCGCGAAAATTTAGATGGGATTTTTTTTTTAAAGCTCCATCTGGATTTATATCGAGGCGACCAAACATTAACTTAAAGTTTTATGGATTGAGATCACTTGAAAATGAAAATAGGATATGTCACAAGATATTCATAATCTTGAATAAGTTACAATTACCTACATCTCACCTCTCCCGATAAAGCTGCCTTTGTTTCGAGTGAATGCGAAACTGTGTGAGACCACTAACAACTATTATAAGATGTGATTTAATTCATTCTCCCTTGCTTAGTCTCATATTTTTGCCTAGTACTAAGAGTGGAAATATTTCATTGGAGAGGCAAATAGGATCTTAGAAAGATTGGAACTCCAGACTTCATGCTTTGATATCATGTGAGATTTTGTGAGATCACTAATAACTGTCTAAAAAGCTTAAACTGTTAAATGAAGGTGTGGTTTAATATTTAAATATTTTGTTAGGAACTAAGGCGAATGCAAGAGAAAAGAATTCGTCAATTTATATTCCTAAAGCATTCATTCGATTCACCATTTTATAAATAAATCAATTTAAAATTCTATAAAATAGAATCATTATGCTATGGATGCGTTATTCGATTTAATTATTAAGTAAAACTGAAAATAAGGGAAAAAAAATCTTTTCGAAGGTAACGAAAATAATTTAAAATAAAAAGAAAGGGAAGGAATACGAAGCAAGAATCCGCGAAATAAGAAGCGACCCATTTACGACCCATTACCACCTGACAAGAATTGCTACGACAAGTTAAATTGAGTACATGGTGCAATCATATTGTTCTTAAAAAGTAGTCTAAAACTAACAATCAATTAACTTTATCAGAAGACCATTTTCCTTAGCAAAGGGCGGGCCTCGTTCATATATTTACTGAACACTCCGTTTGTTTCACAAAAAATAAATGATTTGAAAAATATTTTCCTGAAAAATCATTGTTTGTATATCTCGAATTGATTAGTCGATGGAAAAAAAATTTCACTATCGAAAACAAATTGTATCTGAACAATTTCGTGTACAATAAAAAAAATTTCTTCATTCATTTTCATAAACTATACAAGCTATCATTTTTACGAAAATATTTTCTAAACTATATATTTTCCACGAAATAAATGGTAATCGTAATTTTTAATATTTCTCCAAACCAAAAAACCAGTGATACCGTCTGGAATTGTTATAGTAATTTGATGAGCTTGGACCGGGTCAGGCTTGTCCAGCAAAGATGGTCGACTCAGGCCTCTAAATCTTGGCCAAAGAGAAATCCAATGGGCCCAAATTCGAAGACTTCATCGCTATACCGGCCCAACACATAACTCTTTTGGGCCATAGGCCCAACCCACAAATGAACCGGCCGAACACTCGGTTCGGTTTAGCACTCGTGCGACTTTACAAATCGATCTCGGCAGCACCGGAACCAGAGATGCGATGGAGTTAGCAGCTCCGACGAGGGAATACATTCGAGCAAACTTTTTGGCCCGTTGAACCTGCCCGAGCATAAAATTCAATTGAATCGGATGAATTCGTACACTGCCAGCACCCAAATTAAGGCTCAGCTTCGATCCGTTATGCTTATCCAACAATTGTCCTTCCGTGCTTAGTATAGGTACTTTGTTTCGTGGGTAGACTCACAAATGACCCTATCCGTTCTGACCTCATCGATTGGTCTTCGAAACTCTCCTTACCATTACTCCCGATACGTCTCGATATCAAACGTATAGGTTTCCAGATAACCGGGCCTCTAGCTCGACAAAAACAGGCATCGCTCCTTACCATTGCTCCCGACATGTCTCCATATCAAACTGTATAGGTTTCCAGATAACCGGGCCTCTCTAGCTCGGCAAGGCACGCATCGCTTCATCTCCAAACTCGAGATAGCGACGCTAGCCACCAGCCAGAGAGGCGTAAAAGCATGTTGCCAAGGTTGCCAAAATCCTCGCGATCCGTCATCATCGGGCGGGCCCCCACAACGTGCCATCATGTGCCCCCAACGAACGCCATGATCACGAGCTTTAGAAAGAGATGAAGCAAGTGGGCTTTTTACGAAACAGCATTAGAGCATGCTGACAGCCAAATGCTTCCCGACCCCGTCTAAATCCAAATCGAGACCGTCCAATCCCCACCGCCCCCTCACATGCTCCCCCCCGTCATCGGACGGCCCCACACGCCCGTGTCGGTGGATTCTTCTCGCCGACACGAACTGGTCCTTTTCTCTCTCTACTGTTACTCGCCTATCATTCACGCTGCCGTGCGACGTAATCATACGTAATCAGTATTCGAGTTTTTTTTTATTTAAAACTAATGTCACGAAAAATTTCAAATTAATATATCTATGATAATTTATCTAAAGCTAATTTTTTATCATCAAAAATTTCAAATTAATATACTTGTGATAAATTTATCATAACCTAATTTTTTTACTACAAAAAACCCCATAACAGTACAATTGTGATAAATTTTACCTTTCATTAAATTAAATTAATACGACGAAAAACCAAAAATTGGTGCACATGTGATAAACGGATAGTGAAACCCCAAGCTAATACACCTGTAAATTGTCACGTATCATCCAACTCAAAAATTTGACGGTAAAATTTAATCGAAATTAATGAAGGGTAAAATTGTCGCATGTGTACCCGTTTGGGATTTTTTGTAGTCAAAAAATTAGTTTAGGATAAATTAATCACAAGTGTACAAATTTGAGATTTTTCGTGATATTAATCAATTTATTTATTTATTAGAGTATTTTATATTATATAGTTTTTTTTTGGTCAAATTTGTTGTATAGTTTATAAAATGGTATTTGACTTATAGTTTCCGCCAAGCTAGAGCAAGGGGATGCTCCCGAATAATTTGGAAACCCCACGCATGATTTCGACACTCGATTAAGATCAAGCTCCGGACGTGGCACATGGTCTTATTAGAATAATTCGAATATCGAACTATTGTTCTATCTAATTGTATAAATTTATGGATAAGTTATTAGCGGTCTGGTCGTTTCTAGATGTGGTATCGTAATCGGAGATCTCGAGCTTGTTCTTTCCATCGATTCATGGATTATGTCCTTGCTCATACATTTTTATATGAGACGAAGGATAGAGAAAAGAATACGATTCGTGCACTTTCTAGAAATTGACTTTGCATTTCTTCCTCGACATAATCTCCTAGGGCAGTCAAATAGGGAAAAAATAATTTATAAAGGGGGAAATCGTCTAATCAATTATAAACCTATTATACGATGGTAATTCAGTCATAAACTTTACAATGTAGCACCTAAGCGATTTCAAAGTTGGATTGCTTAGAAAGATATTGTAACTTATAAAACGCGAGATTCAAGTTAGATTGCTTCTCCACACTTTCGATTGTGGATAGTTGCGAGTTCACCAGTCACGACGTGGAAGACTGAAGAATTGGACTTAGCATGAAAGTGCCATATAACGAATGATCGAAGTAAAGAATATGGACGGTCTAAATTTATTTTAGATGATGTCAATAGTTAGGGCGGCGATCGAGAAAATTAAAATAACAAGTAACGAGGATTGATACGAGGATGTTAATCCGGGCAATGATCAAGAGAAAAATCTATGTTGTCGTCTCAAAACATCGATTGCATTGACAGCATCGGGTGGAGTTGATAGGGACAGCGATGGATGTTGG